CCACAGCTCCGCGTCGTCAGCCAACGCCCAACCACTGGCTTCCCAAGGCTGAACTTCCAGCCAATCAGCGACCGCGGGAAACCCCCGTTCTGCAAGGACCACAACAAAGGGAACCCCCGTACAGGCAACGCAACACAAGTACCTCCAGATCCTAGCTGAAATTCTGTCCAAATTCCCTTTAAAATCTTAAACTGTTTCCCTTACATTGGTTCGCCAGGCTTTAAAGAGGGCAAATCCCCCACAGTGATGGTATGATTAGACGTAAACCCTTGCATTTAAGTTAACACTAACAGATTAAGACAGCAAAAGGACACTTTGTAAAGTTCACCAATATGTGTGCAAAGCAAGTTGAAACAGTACAGTGTAAGTGTTTAATAGTGGATCTGAGTTATGTCTTTCTTTTAGTCCCATCTTCTCACAGACTGCTTCCAATGGTTAACATGGTAACACTTTAAGTTAACATGAAAGTATTAGGAATGAACATGAATCTGTATTGTTTTAGTATTATTTATACACTATTATAGTATTTATTAATATTTTAATTTAGCTTTTATTTTTTATTTTACTTTATTTTACTTTTAGTAATTTTGTTATTATGTGCATTTGTAATTTCTATTTAGCCTTATTTTTTATTTCAGTTTTAATATATAATAATTTTAGTACTTCAACTTACAGCTCTGGTCACAAGTTAACATATCCCTTGCAGAATATACAATGTGTTAATAATGTTAAGGGATGATGAAATGTGCATGTTATTTTTTATTTAGTACCGTCCTGAATAAGCTATTTCACATAACAGATATTTACATAAACTCCACAAGACAAAATAATAACTACATTTATAAAAAATGACCCCGTTCAAAAGTTTGAACCTTAATACTGTGTCGTAAAGGAATTAACAATGAACAAGAGTATACTTTTAAATGAAATAAATAAACGTTCGTGATACCTAGTTATTTGGCTAATTTAACAATTAACAACCTTATTGCAAGATTAATGTTGATAACATCGTATAGAATAAAATTATGCATTTTTGTTCAAAAACCATGCCAAAACCTTCATATAAATAAAGAGATACAAAGTCAAGCCAGATGTAAAGGAGTGATCAGTTTGTCTTATGTCACGAAAAGCTTGTACTATTTCCAGACTGCCTTTCCCCTTGACCCTAAAGTATTAACCACCTTTATAAATTACTGCCTCCATCTCTCCTTTGTGCTTGCCATGCCTCTGTTAGATTAAAGCACAAAGGACAAAAAAGCATCAAAACCTCTTCCTGTTGTTCTTAAAGCCCTTAAACAAATTCTACCTGATTACAGGGTGGTCTGCCCTCCCTTTAGCTCTGAATAACACACTTTACCTTTGCTTGTTGACCTCAAATACACATTCAGCACTGGTGATGACTGCTTAGATTTAAACAGAACTCTGCTTTCTTTGCTAAACATGCCCTCTATCCCCATCTAGAGGTCAACTGAAAAGAGAACCTTACACAGTTTAAACTGCATCTTACCCTTCCTCAATCCAAATTTGTTATTAACACACTCACTCTCTCTCTGTCTTCATGACATACTCTTTATCTTGATCAGATGTGATTTTAATTTGTTAATACTGAATGTGGGATAATTAGAAAAGCCTTGGGGCAAGGTACCATTATATAATCACTTACTTCATGATGATGGGTTCCAGATTTATTAAAGTGATATAAAGTGTTTTTTTTTCTCCCACAAGTGCAGAATTAGACAGAGAGGAAGACTTACCATCAAGTGACAGCCAGTCGTGCTGGGATGAAGGTAGGGAGGGCAGTGCACGGGCTTTATACTCAAACACAACCGAGTTAGAGATGATTTGATTACTGACAGCCACCTGCAGAGTCACCAAGCCTGTGTCATGGGCTGCAGACACACACAACCCCGTAATTAGAGAGATCAGAGGAAAACACACTGACACCTATGAGAATTCATGCAGTTCTTCTACTTATCAGGGGTGACGTCTGTCTGAGGGCTTACAGAAATTCATTACAATCCAGGAAAAGATTCACTTTTTAATGTTTATTTGAAGTATTAAACAACACATTGTTAATCTTATAATCACATTAAAATTAATATGAACTTCTTAAAGGAGATATATTATTTAATCAGTCACTTCTGTATGTATTAATGTGAAATTACCGGGACAGTAGCAACGTAAAACTCCGGGCTGAATAAGGGAGGCAGGGACAGAGATCTGATCAAACAGACAGGTGTAGCTGCTGCTGTCTTCTTGCCATGCCCCGGTGATTAAGACTTTCACACCACCCTGAAATATGGAGGGGAAAAAATCCTCACATATGAATACCCAAAATATTTCCCTCAGCAGGACAAGTTTATCACATCATAATGGTTAAAATATTTTGATTTAAATTAAGGTAGCTTTTGAAAGGAGAATAAAACACACATACTATAATGCCATCTTGTGGGAGACAATATGAATTAACATCAATGTTGAAAATGTGTTTTAAATGTGTTTCCAAGGGTATTCTGCCATCTCGTGGTGTAATCATGCAACAGCACTGGAGATGTTTGGATATCAAACATGGGATACATAAATTAAGATATTTAAAAATATTTTTAAATAAAAATGTGAATAATAATAATTATTATTATTAACATTTAATAATGTCTCAATTTAATAAAGACATTTAAAACTATTTTAAATAATAATAATACTAATATCATCTTTGAGTACGTAATTATAATGGAGGAAAAACTGGTACAGCATGTACAATGTACAGCATTTAATTAAAACAGACATACCTCTGGGTAGGACCACTCTGGAGAGTAGTCTGTGACCATGAAAAGTCGCCCAGTGGCCTGCAACATTCCCAGCGTGCCCTGGGCCACTGCTGCTGACACTACTTCAGTGACATGCATGTAGGCCAGTGAGCCTGTCTCTCCTGACCTTCCCCCAGCACCAGCACCTCCACCTAAAGATTGGGGGCTGCAGCATGACTGGAGGCAAAGCTCTGAGGGCCTGTATCCTGCTGCCCTGTTGGTTGCATCCTCTTGACCTTGCTGTTGGTTCCCACCAGAGTTGGCCGTAACTTCCGACCCAGGCGGGGCCACCAACTGGTGGGTATATAATGTTCCTGCAGCCCCTACTGCTGTGGCTCCGCTGTCCACTGAGATAAAGTCGTTGATGAGGTCAGAAAACTGGTTTCCAAAAGAGATGTCAAAATGATCCAAGCTGATTTCCATGCCCGTGCCTCCTCCGCCATTGGCTCCAGTCCCACTAAGCCCGTGGTGAGTGTTGTAGAGCCCCTGAACCAAATTAGCTCCCTGAAGCAGTGGCTGGAGTTGCTGTTGCGAGCCGTTGTTGGGCCCACTTGTGGTGTTTCCATTCCTCAAAGCCACAGCCTCAGCTCCCACTCCATTCTCAGAGCTCTGCTGCACGAAGTGATCTGCTCCTCCGTTCTCTCCACTTCCTCCTGCACAGGCTTGTAGATGATCCCCAGATTTTAGTAAACCATCTGTCCCATTTTCTGTGGCTCCAGCCTGACCGGACCCAACATTGCAGTTCTGATCCATGCCGACCACTTCCTCGTGCTCTGGACCAAGGCCTGGGAAACCTCCTTGGTACTGAAGGAGTTGCAGCGAGCCACCCTGTCCTTGTCCCTCGGTGGGTGAGCCTCCATTGCAGTGGGGTCTGTGCTGGCCCTGGTGGGTGTGATGGTGGTGGAGGTGGCCATTACTGCCAGGCGATTCGGTCTTTACAACCTGCAGACCCATGTAGACCCCATCAGGGGCGTTATGTTCCAGTAGGTGGCCCTTCTGGCTAGAGCACTGCCGGCCTTGCTGGTTCTGGGCTGTCTGTGGTGCTTCTTGAAGAAAAAAGCTTGGAGATTGGTTCTGGTGAGCTAGGTTGTTAATTGCTTGGCTATAACCTACTGCCGTGGCACCAGCGGAGTAGTCATGCTTCTCATCGATAGCGCTGAAATCCATCTGCTCCAGGGTGGTGCTCGGACTCAGGCCCCCACCAGAGGGAAGCAGAGAGGAAACAGGGGTCAAGGTGAGTGAGTTCTGGGTGCCAGAGCCGCTGGAAACGCTACAGCTTACAACTGCTCCCACTTGGTAGCTCCCTTCTTTGGCCAGCTGTTGCTCGAAGGAGGTGTCCTCGGTCTTGATGTTCTTCACCAGTGCAGAACTGAAGCCGTACTTTGAATCGGATATAGGTGGCGAGCGTTGCAAACCGTTGGTGCTAGCTGTTGAGGAGGACGAGGCACTGGATGTGCCATTCTCCTGCTTTAATCCACTTCCCCCATATGTCTGGCCCTGCTTCGGGTTGTTCAGGAAGCAGTCGGGGTCGAAGTTCATAGTGGTTTCTGGGATTTTGATGCTGCTGGAGTCTAGGCTGCTGGAGAGGACAAGCTCCTCAGAGATGCCGGAGGCAGAGAGCATGGACAGCCCGTCTGCTCCGGGACCACCTGTATCTGCACTCCCACTTCCTGGAAAGGCAAACTTGTGGCTGTCAGAGGTGACTGCTAAGACCAGGCTGTGAGAGGTGGCATCAGGGCCCATAATATGGGTATTGGGGCCTCCAGTGGGGGACATGCTGTAGACGGGATCCCCAGTCACCTCAGACATGAAAACACTCTGGGATAGGCTGCTCATAACAGAGGCAACATGACCCATGCCTGTGACTGCTGGGCTGTCAGCCATGTCGGGGTCAGAATTCAGCCCGCTGCTGATGGACACAGGGGAATTCTGGGTGGTGTCTGGCACTTCCACCTGATTGGTAGAGGAGACCTCAGTGCTGTTCTGGTGCAGCAGCACAGGTTTGTGTACCTTGCCATTGCGTTTTTCACGTACACTCCCACCTCCTGTTCCTCCTCTGTTTTTGCTGCTCTGGCTGTGTTCTGTCTTACCCTCGGACACATCATTATTCTGGAGCTCAGAGTGGGTGCTGCTGTAACCACCTGAACGAGGGTCCACTTTGGGCGAGATAATGCGGTGTTTGGCGCTGTTACACTTATGATGCACACTGCTCCCAGCACCTGCAGAGAAAAACAAAACAGCAAGTCATTTTCCAAACTAAAATTATTATTATTATTAATAATAATAATATTAAAAAACAAACAATTTGTTATTATTATTAACATTATTATTATTATCAATATCCAAACTATTGTATTAGAATAATTCATATCTCAGAATCAGAAACCTCTTTATTGCCAAGTACTGAGGGTATACATGTACAAGGAATTTGTCTTGATGTATAGGTACTTAACAAAGACAATAAAATACAACAACAACAACAACAACAATAATATAAACATTGTAAGGTGCGATAGCTAAAGGGAGAGAAAGCAGAAAAATATAAGAAATATATTAGCTGTACATTTATGCAGAATATGTAAATTTGGAAATCTGACCCTTCAATGGCATTTTCCTCTTTAAAATGAACATTATTCCAATTATCAACAGAATCACTAGTATCATTATCAATATTTTTTTTTCATTATCATAATTGTATACACAATGTTAATGTGGATTTTATATAATAATAATCATCATAATACAAATTATATTTGTATTCAGAATAATTCATTCATTCAGATCCTTAATGACATTATGCACTTTAAAATTAACATTATTCCATTATTATTAGTATTATCAATATTTATTCTTATTATCGACAGTATTTAAATGAACACAATCAGCGATATCCCTCCCCCTTTTCCCTATTATTTATTCCATGGAAACTACATTTGAATAATACAAAACACATCATAATAACTTCACTACTGTTTTATATATGACATCACTATAAGAGTCTCTGTTTGCTTTGTACATCAGAAGAAGAGTGTTTCAAAGAATAAGCCACATAATGTCTTTGAAATGGAATAAAATGCTTTTAGATTAATTAAAATCTTTATGGAGACCATCAATCATCAATATTAACTGTTTCACGAGAAGCCAACAAATAGCTTTCCCGTTTTGTTAATAAATGGCTGGTATGTCGCATTAGTCATTTTACTGCATACTTGGCAATTGAATTTTATATGAACATACAACAAATGGCAATCCATCTAGCCCACAATCATTTGTTTTAAACGCAATTCAATTTGCTTCAGAGTAACGGCACCCTATAGAAGCAACACCATGGGATTGTAAAGTGCTGTGCTGCATATTTGTGATGAAGTATAAGGTGAAAATTCATTTGTTGTATACTTGAGTAAAAAAAGATTGACTGCACAGATGTGCAGGAACATTAAGCCCCCCAGTGGTGTCATTGCAACAGACAGCTCAATAAATCAGCACATCTATGAAATGTTCAGCCTGGACACTACTCTAACTAGGCATTCAGCCCGCTCTACACTCACCTCATATTTTACAGTTCTTGCAGACATATTTAAAGCACTACCTGCTCCCTCTGTCTCTACCGGTTTCTTTTTGACTGCCTCTATCCCACACCCCAGCCCTCCTGTCTGTCCCTTACCCTGAGTGCCAGTGCAGAGGCAGTTGTGAGTCCGGGGAGGAGGCTTGGTCTGGTGGCTGTCCAGTATCTGCTGCACCAGCTGCTCCACAGAGAAGCCAGAGCTGCTGTTCCCATTGCTGCAAGTCCACTTGATGCCATGAACTGCCGAGGGAGAGAGGAGACACAGTCGTCAGCCCACCAGCCGAGCCTTCCAGCCCTCCCCCACCCCGCCTGTGCACTACATCCCTGACCTTACCTCAGAACCAGACTCCATATCAAAACCACTTTTGTCCAGAAAAAGAGTACCACAAGAAAAAGTCACTTATCGCAGTCATTTACTACTTTCTGACCTCAGGAACAGGATCACGGAAAGTTCAAGAACAGATTTGGGCCTGTTAAGGTTGAAAGGGTCATTCCTCGTCTCACTTTAGCTGAAGTAAAAGCCCCAGCCCTTTGACAAGGTGCTTTTTGCCATTTACTCCCTCTGCTGCCATCACTATTTCCAAGCTCAGCCTCTCTCCTCTGAGAAAAAGAACAATAACAACAAATGGAACAGTAAAATGGCAAAAGGAAAAAGAAATGCAACAAAGGTAATGTGGTGATCTCTGGAGAGGAACGGTATTTAGAATATCAAACAGCATCGAGACACCTTAATACAGCTTGTGCACGCTTTGCTACTTCTGTGAGCATAACAAGCTGAGGTGAGATTGCATGTGAAAGCGAGGGGAGGAGAAGGGAGAAAGAGACAGAGACAAAAACTGTTAAAAGAGACAAAAGCGTTTGGCTTGAACTCGCAAACAGTGCTGCATCACCAGCCGGAGCAGGCACAACAGTTGTCACATACACAGCAGGTTTCTCTGCTCTGCTGAGCTCTGCCATTCCATGCTTGGCCAGAGAATCGCAGTGGCGTTCCACAAGCCATTACACCAGCATGACCATGCTCGAACAGACAAATCAATCTCACAGCATGAACCTGAACCAGAGTCGCAGCACAAGGCAGGTCATGTAATGAAAGGGCAAGCTGGTTTGGTGGATACGGCGTGACATCGGCGGGAGGCGTCAGCCGCGAGGATCTGAAGAAGAATCCTCTGATTTAGACTCGCAGGGATTCTCCCACACTTCAGTCCACAGTGGCCTGCCATTACTAATGCAGCTCTTCAAACTACCTTTGCCCATCTGGCAATGTTCCTTTTGTCTGCACCACAACACACACAGACGCAGTTTTTCTGACATGGAATTTCATGTCGTTTTATTCATCTAAAAGTATTTGAAAACAAAACTAAACAAAGAAAAATTCAATTGTTAAAGGAATTTGTTATTAATAAATATTTATATAAAATTATATTAATATTAATATAAATGTTTATATAAAAATATAACATTACAAAATATTTTTTTATTTTTTAGAATTCTAATCGTCTTACAAAAATAGATAAATGCCACATGCTGCTATAGCTTGCAAATCATATTTTACTGCAATGTTTCAGTGAAACGTATACAAAAATACATATAGATTTTAATAAAATATTTTTCATAATAATAAAATTGATTTATCTCACCACATGGTCATTTAAATCTAAGTAATTAAAATAAAAATAAAATATCAGAGGTAAGTTGGCTAATTAAGTTGATTATCTGAACGTGCTCCACCTGTGCTGAATCAGTTGATCATCTGAACGTGCTCCTCCCGAACTTTGTTAATAAACATCATTTAAAAGAGACTTCTTTTGTGCATTTAATTTTTTAACAACCTTTAATTAATATTACATTTATACTTCAGTATATTTAAATGTACAATTACATTTGTGTATATATTATACATTTTAGGGCCTTGGAAGACTTTGAAACTCCTGGATTAAATGCTGCTAACAAATCAAATCAAAACTCTCTCCACCAGCCACATCCATATCCACAATCTCAAAACACCTCATAACCACACCCAACAACTTGTATCTTTATCTCCAGGAAACATAAATTACATCAGATATCTCGCACCGTGCTGTGTGTATGTGTTTATAACCGCTGTCTGATCATCTGCTCACACAGCAGTGAGGGGGCTTCAGGCATGGCTGGTCCCTGGTCTCTTAAATTACATCAGCGGAGAGGAATGAATCAGGCCTGCGTATTCTTCTCTCCAGCTGTAGTGTGACTAAGCAACCATTGCTTTCCATGGCCTGCCAGTTGATCTCTGCTGCACACACCTACTTCAACATGAAACCACATTTGTAATCTATTTTACTAGGTAAAATAATCTATTTCTAAGTGATAATAGATATTCAATAACAACAAAAAAATCTAGAGCCTTGATCTTATTTGACAAGAATTCATTATATTGTGAAAAGTGTTCTCTATATGACAGTGGCTGAACTAAATAAAAGAACTAAAGAGTTCTTGGTGAAAAAATATAATTATTTACCTTTAAGTACAATAGCAAGATATTGTCAGAAATTAAACAATTTTTTCACGGATTTTAATAAATATCTAGAAGTCTACCGCATTACATTACAAGAGACAACAGGAGAGCTTAAAGTTTTGATGATGAATTAAAAAGACATCTCAGTAGCTTTGTAAAGAAATTCGAAATCACCCTGCACAATAGAGCTTGAAGGCAAAAATAACTAATCTATATTTCACACTACAATGACGAAACGCTTATTTCGTGCAAAGCAGGTGATGACGCAACCTCAACACCGATGTATTTCTAAGATTTTAAAACGGAGAGAGTTAGAGAACAACAGTTACAGAAGTCTTTCTCTGAGGACTGTCAGTCGAGGAATGCACCGCTCCTTACGCATTCAATCCCAACTGAACACCTCATCCCGTTAATGAATGCAAGCTGTTTGTGTATGATATGGGTCACTCAAGGGAACACATTGGGTTTGTAGAGCTGATGTATAATGCAGCCATGAATTATGCATGGATGGTTTACAATGAATCGCTGACTATCAACAGGCTGCATGTCTGCAGTGCCACCACTAGGTGGTACTGTTGCTCTTCAAATGAGCTCACATCATGGATGGTTGTTTGAAGATTATGAGGGTGAATCTTGTGGCCCTATTAGCCTAGTGTCAGTGAACCGGGCCCGACTGGCGGAAGACATCTTGCACCTTTGCCACTGTCCACACCATTTGCAACGTTAATGACTTGCATGTATTACGGCAAATGGTTTCAATGTAGATCAGGCATGGAGTGTAATGAACACATTAGTTTACTGTACTTGTCTTAAAGTCAATGTGACAGGGAGCTCTTAAGTGATTGCCACGAGAACTCTTAAAGGGATCGTAACACACGGCAGCGATTACAATGTCAGCTGAGCTCGTCTATATTCTCTTCGCTGACATCCCGTGTCTAAAAGTGCTGACGTGAGGGATCCGACTTCATATATTCATTACCTTGACAGACCTGTCCTAGTTCAAATGATCAGTGGCAGGCATCACATACAGAGATGTGTCCTCATAAGACTCAGGGTAAACATGATTATATGCATGCCGTTGTCCCCTTTTTTACATCCTCATTAGACAGGTTTCCTCTGGTCAATTCTGTGACCTAGACCTGTCGTAGATGAAAACAAACACAGTGTAAGCATAAAGCATGGGTAAAGCAGTGCTGGATGTATGAAGGGATTTCTGGCAAGTCAGACACTCTTCCGCCCACTCACTGGCATCAATCAATGCATCACTGCTCTCCTCCACTGACTGACTGGAGACCAACGTGCTTAATCACTCAGTGGACAGTGAGACGCAGACAAGAGGCTCCACTGACCCTGGGACACCCGGTCACCTTGGAGTGGGCATGCACAGGCGGTGAGGTAATAATCATGGAGATTCCTGCTATGAACAAGGGCACAAGGTGCAGCAGGTAAGACGGGGCCAAGAGCAGGCTGAGCTGGGAGAGACTAACTTCATGAAACATCACATGCACAGGTCTTGCGTAAATACAGAAATCACAGAAGACAATGTCAAGTATCATTGTCCAAGCATCTAAAGGCTAGATCACACTGCCTTAACCATCACCAACAGCTGTAGTGTTTTGTTGGATCAGTATTGCAATCCTGTTGGTGTTTGTTGGGAAAGTGTGAACCATGGAGACCCGTTCTCTCACAAAGGTCTTTTCTAGACTGAAAAACATTTTCTTAATAAGTATCTTTGTTTTGTTTGGAAGAACGAATATATAAAATGAAATAAATTACCTGAGATGCAAAGTTTCTATATTTAATATTATTCTTTATCTTGTCAAATGTAATCAAGATATGTAACACATTAAAAATGTGGATAGGTAATATGGAGATATGAAATATGGAGATAAATGTATTACCTATATACATTTTAGACACACTTTTTTTTTTTTTTTTTTTACATAAATACTTTTCACCAAGGATGCATTAAATTAATCAAATGACAGTAAAGACTTTTACATTATTTTTAGACACTTTTTTTTTTTTTTTTACATAAATACTTTTCACCAAGGATGCATTAAATTAATCAAATGACAGTAAAGACTTTTACATTATTAAAAAAAAATCAAATTCAAATAAGTGCTGTTGATTTGATCTTTCTATTCAGCAAAGAACCCCGGAAAAATGTATCATGGTTTTCACAAAAAATATTAAGGAGCACAGTTGCTTTTAACAAAAACATTAAGCAAAAACAAATGAGAAAAGAGTTTTACATATTTCACAATATTACTGTTTTTAATGCATTTTTTTGATAAAATGACAAAAACATTGAAAAATCATACCAAACACAACTTTGAATGGTAGCATATTTTTTTTTTTAAACACTGTTTGCAGTGAAAACTTGAATGAGAGGAGACAGATTTTGCATTCAGTTGGAATGTGATCGGACACTCACACATGGGTTTCAGCTGGCCAATGAGTTCCTCCTTCGTCCATTTGGCCCATTCTTTCTTGTCTGTATTGATGGAGCACAGGATGGGCCCACATGGCTTCCCACAATCCTCGATAGCTGGCACATTCAGGTAGTGGACCAGCACAATGTCTGGGTTCTGGGAAAAGGATAGGACCAAGAGAGAGAAAGTGGGGAAGAAGAAAAAAAAAAAAAAAAAGACATGGTGTGATGAGTGGAAAGGTCTGACTGAAGCAACAGCAGTACCCTAGAAACACAGATGGAGCAACAACATATACATCAAAATAATGTGTTAATACATGTTTAGCGCTATCTAGCATATTTGGCAGCTAGCCAGCACACTTTAGCACATTAGTGGAGTGACATTGACACAGGATGAAATTAAGTGAAATGTAATTCGCTGCCTGTTCTTCTCCATCATTCAAGGAATTATTGCTAGAAAACACATAAATGTCTCTTCTGAATAAAATAGCTTAGAGTCTGCTTTCCACAGGCAGTACTAGCACAACCTTAATTGCACAGGCAAATATCGCCGAGTCTTGTGAATAAGGTGTAATCTATAATAAGCTTAATTGACATAGAAAAGAGGCGTGTTTGTGCTGAAAAGAATGACAATGATTTAATTTAAATACACACGGCAGCGCCTGGTTAAGCCAAAAGCGGTGAATAAAACTGTTTGTGCACAAAAGTGCTGCAGCTGTTTACTGATAGTATGTAGTGCCAAAGTTATCCACAGAGAGGATAAAACCAAGGACAGAACATCCCAAACAGGGATCTTCATGTGAACATGTGTGGGGCTTAAAACACCTGATTTTTTTGTAACATTGCAGTTGTCAACTCAAAGTAAGGGCTTAGTGTATATACATATATATACACACATATACATACACATACACATACACATATATACACACACATACATGCACACAAATTCTGTTAATTTGAAGTCAGCAAGTGTTTGCTGGACACATTTTGACAGCTTATGAATAAAAGGGTTGTTTAAGGCATGTCTAGCCAGAGTGAATAACATCAATTCTGTTCTGTAAATCAGAAATAAATTGCGATGATTACAAAGTACTGTAAACAGTCACATTACAAACAGTCCCATGTCACCACAGAGATTACACACACACACACACTAACAAAATCCCACTTGTTCCAGGACACCAGCATTTGAATGTCACGTGAAACACAGATACAATGCATTCACAAATCAAATCCATACACTGAAACAGTGAAGAAAACTGTCCCTTTCATTAGCATTTTTATTAGTTTTATGAGCATTACGTGCGGAGTGAATTGGGGGCTGCGGTTCTGCACTGCCTCCCGGCCTGCAGCATTACACTTCGACGTACATGTACAAAATCTATGCGTACTGCATGCTCAATGGAGTAATACACACAAAGACAGACATTCATACAGCCGCTGGCACTTTTACAGAGAGCACCATGGTAACCACACCTCTTCATGGCCATGTCCGAAAGCTAATAAATACTGCCTTTTTTTAGCCACAATGTTTGCACAACATTCTGTCTTAACTGCAAAGATACATTCACCTCATCAGAAGTCTCCAGCACCTGCCCCTTTTTCGGACCGATCTAGGCACCCCAGACTGCGATTTTGCCCCATCCATTTTTCATTCTATCCTGATAAGTGCTCCAGTCCCTGCTGCAGAGAAACACCCCATAACAGGATATCAGCACCTCCATGCTTTACTGTAGGAATGCTGTTATTTGGATGGTGAGCTGTATTGGATTTCCGCCAGGCATATCGTTTAGTGTTGAGGCCAAGTAACGCTGTTTTAGTCTCATCTGCCTCTGAATCTTCAAGGTGCATTTTGGCAAAGCTCAGTCGTGACTGCATGTGGCCTTTTTTGAGGAGTGGCTTTTTCTTGCAACCCTTCCATGCAAGCCACATTTGTGGAGAATTTGTGATATTGTTGTCACACGCACATAGTGACTACTCTTTGAAATAATTTCCTGCAACTGCTTCAGAGTTGCTGTAGGCCTCTTGGTCGCCTCTCTGACCAGTTTCCTCCTGGCTCTTTCATCCAGTGTGTAGCGACGTCCTGATCCAGGGAGGGTCTGTGTTGTACCAAATACCTTCCATAGACTTCTAGGCATTGATAAAGCCTTTTAATTTTTTTGTATCCATCTCCAGACTTGTGCCTGTCCACAACTTTATCCCGGAGATCTTTTGACAGTGCCTTGCCACCCATAGTTGATTGTTCGCTTCAATTGCACTACCAAGAAGTGAAACGCTGCAGGAAAGCTTTTTCATGCTGAGCTAATCAAAATGACCACAGCTGATCACAGTTGAAAGTCAAATGGCTTTGTGTGCCATTGAGAAGGTGATTAGCTCCACCTGATTGAGTTTACAAGTCATTTTTAGGAGGGGGGTGATTCTGTTTCCAACTCAGTGACTCTGTTTGTTTTTTTTAATGTTGGTGTTATATCTTTCACTTAGGTGTTATAAGTTTCACTGAGTAAACACAGATAAATAAAAAAAAAATGTGTCCGTCTTTATTTTAGGCTGCAAAGCAACAAAATGTGATTATTTTAAAAGGGTTGATTCTTTTCTATATCCACTGTATAACCCAGTAATTTCACAAAAAGTGAAAAGTCAACCAAAAAGAAGAAGAAGAAGAAGTCAACAAACTAACAGTCTTTATTAATAAATCCACTGGGAATACTCAACAAATCAAATTAAACAAGGAACACAGAATTAAACCAAAACAGAAAATAACCCTGACACAAAAATACTGTTTATTTTTATATGAAATAATTTCTTGATTTTTCGTTTGATTTTGGGGTGAATTATGACCCAGACATTTCTTGTGACATTTACCAATATAAGAGAAACCCAGGCCAAACATTTTCAGAGGGATGGATAATGCACAAATGAGCCAAGACATCATAGTGCCTTGGAAATCTGGTCTAAAACCAGTGTCCTTAGAAGGTAACTTCACACTAAATGCTGCCTGTTTAGCCGTTGATGGAAGCTGCTTTAGTTTCAGACACAATTTGTGTCATAATAGACATCTCTGAACCCCTCTATTACGGTGCTGTTGACCAGGATCAGACTGATATTTCCTCTCTCAAACAGTCTTCTGACTACAACTGAATGGACTACAAATCACAATTAGAAAGAGCATTGACAATCTCTGTGTGGGACTAACAAGCCTTGAACAGTGACCACAGAGAGAGGGGACAAAATCTGCAGGACGGAAAAGTGCGACAGAACAAATCAAAAGCTAAATTCTGAGTGCTCAAAATCAAACAGCCCTGTAATTCACAGCGAGAACTTTTGATTGAACTCTTCAACCAGCACACTTGATATTCAAAGTGAATGTGTCAAGGTGTTTGAACAGCACCTTTGATGGATTAAAAGGAAAAGATTTGATTTAAAATTTAAATCCATAGGAAATCTGTCTTCATGAGAGGATTTTAAGAGTAAGTTCTGGTGTACTATTCTCTTTTAAGTGGATGGAGGGAGCGTGTGGGACAGGCTCTTGGTTGGGGAGGGCGAGCTGAGGAGGCTCAGGCATGGCTCCTGCTGCTGTAGCTATGAGCTTGTGGAAGCAGACACCAGCACTACATCCCCATATGGCACAAGCAGCTGTGGTGATCACCAGGCCATGCCCTCAATCCTTAACCAGCATGAGAAGGGTAAGTAAAACCCAGACAAACATAAAAAACATTCTCATGCATATAACGGTGAAGCTGTATGGGTCAAAATGCCTGGTTATATTTTACCCCAAAATTAAAAGAAAAAAATGAGATAAATATAAAGTAGATATTTATACAGTATATAAAAATTTGTTTTGCTTAAAGAACGTTTTTTTTTTTAAGATTTAATTTTTTCCCCATTATTTTCATGATAATGAAGCACATTTAAACGTGTAAAAAAATAAAAGTCAAATTTTATTTTTGTAAAGTACTATATATAATACAATTTATTTATTAATAAATTATTTAAATTAAAAAATGATTTAAATACACACACACACACACACACACACACACACACACACACATATAT